GGAATTTATGGACATGTACCACACTGTCCCAGGACCTGAAATAAGGTGGCACTAGCTCACAAGGTTCCAAAATGGAGGGCCTGAGAGTTCTGGTTTTGGGGAAACCGGCTTAGTGAGGTGGCTGCTACCCTACTGGAAAAAGGTCACAGGGTTTAGCCTGAAGCCTTGTAAATTGTTTGCAAGGTTGTTGCTGGGGAGGCAAGTGAATTGAGCATAAGCCATAAGCATACCACGGCCATCCTTATGTACACCACTGCTGTGTGGCAACAGCACTTTCCTGTGTACAGAAAGCCATCTTATAAATGCCTCTTAATTGTATCCCTTCCCCGCTCTTGTCATCCCTGAAAAGGAGGCCTTGTAACAGGCAAAATCCCTTTATATGCAAAAAGAGAAAATAAACTTCCCCAAACAAAACAGAACAAAACACTGCCTTCCCTCTCACACAGAAAAAGCAGAAAGAAGGCAAGGTTTCCTAAATAACAAAGCCTAACGGCTGTAGCTATGCCCTCTGCAGAGGGAGTAGCAATCACATCTGGGATCCTGGCAGGACTGTGCTCCCCCCTCATGAAGATGCCATTTTCTCTTTATAGATCTGAAGAAGATGGAGAACAAGGTGCAGCAGTGTTCAGCCTGATGCAAGGTGGCTGGATTTATTGGCTTTCCCTGTCTAAACCTAGATGTCCATTTCAGTTTGGAAAGTGAGAGCCATCCACCCTCAGCCCTGCTGATGCTCCCCAATCCTAGGCTGCTGCCTGTTCAATTTCTCTTTTCCCTGTTTGAGCCTGTCAGGCTGTACTGCCCTGAAAGGACAGCGTTAATGCTCGCAAGTGTGCGAGGCAAAGTGAAAGTGAAATTAGAAGTTGACTGTGCAGACTCAGAGCAGCGTGATTCCTGAACAAGTCCCAGGGTTCCAGCGTGATTCCTGGAAGTCTTCTGTGTGGAGCACAATGAGCCTGGGACTTGTCCTTCTCTGTGGACTGCTGGTTCTGAAGGCGGGTGAGTTAAAGGGAGGTGGGGGTGTGCAACGGGGTGATCCCCAGGACAGTCTCTTCAGGGGTCTGTTTTAAGATCAGGCATCAAGAGAAGGAACCTGCAACAGCCTGCAACAGGCCAGAGAAACAAACTACCTCTCTCTTACATGGAGGGACCCTGAGCTTATGCTGCTGAGAGTCTGGGTTTTCCAGTAGCAAGAGGTGGCAGAGAGGCTGAGGAGCCCTGCTGAGTCAGAGCTACTTCTGGGGAAGGGACAGCCTGCTGCAGGAATCCCTTGGATCCTCCCCTTCTCTGCAGGGGTGCATATGTGTTTGGGAGTGCGTGTGCTATATATCTCAGCTGGTTCATTTCCATCCCTACAGGGTGGACGGAAGATCTAGGCCCCAGTTCCTCTTTACGCTCTGTGGACGTGGTTCTGGACTGCTTCTACATAGAGGAAGCTGCAGGAGATTTGCCAGGTTCATTTGCTAGCTCATTCTCCCAGGACAGTGCCACTCTGGTGCTGAGAGATGTCAGTGTCATCGATGATGGGAGCTTGGACGATGTCACCAATTATGAAGTGCCAGGGGCAAGCACTGGTTCCGCACCCCCCCTCATCTTTGAGGCTTCAGGTGAGTGAGGGAGCTGGGAATAGATCTGTTGCTGTCAGCCATGGTAGTACCCCACAGACTCAAAGCAAGGGCCCAGCTCTCAGGCTTACTGGGTGTTTGATGGACTGAGGGTATAAATGCATGCTGTGTTTATTCCAAAGTACTCTCAGTTTACTCTGGGGGAGAAGTGGAGTGGACATGTGACACAGCATTTAGTCCACTGGAAATGCTGTTGTTCAATATAAAGTTACTTCTGGGACAGTGAGAAGTAAATTGGCTCTGAAGAAAGTGATTCTAATATGTATATATGACATGCACCCTCTATCACTTTTAATTTCATTCCTAAGTAGCCATTTTGCACCATGCTAACTGGCTTGCCTGTCACCTAGTGGTCAGACACTGGTGTAGCACCCTACTGAGGACAGCCAGCTTGGGAGAGTTGCTTCTTACTGGGTGCATCAACACGTGCAATTAGTACGTAGCAATAAACTCCTGCTGTGCTCAGCATGCTGTGGAGGGGCTGGCTGGGGGACGAGGGTGCTACAGTACAGGACTAGGTGGCAGGCAGCCCTTGAACTATAGCACTGTCATGCCTCAGCCAGCCCCTGTCACAGTCTACATGTGCATTGCAGTGTATGTAACTACTCTGCTGTAGGATAGTACTAGGATAGTACGGACAGTATTATCCTACAGCAGAGTTAATTTACTGTGCCATAATACTGGCACCCTTGTAGACTATGACACTTTACTGCAAAGCTAATTAGTCAACTTTGCAGTAAAGCGCACTGTGGAGTAAATTACTGTCAAATAAAGGCATAACTCCATAGTAAATGCTTCTGTTTGGACCCGGAGAGGTCACCATTTAACTACAACCCAGAGGTGTGCTAGCCACACCTGTTTTGTGTTTCCATCCTCTGCCCTAAGGAGGTGCAGTTGGAAAGTTCTCTTTGTAGCGATCTGAGCCCACTCCTGGCACATCTCATTCCCTGCAGTACTGTCCACTGCCTAAGTAAGCTGAGAGCCCCAAACTGCAAACTAAAGCTCTCTAATGTTTGTGCAGCAGCAGTCTGGCCCTGGGTAGCATTGCTGAGTCTGTGGTGTTTTCTAACGTATGACCTTCTATCTCTTTGGGCCCTGCCACACATTTAAATTAAAGTTGTATAGAAGCCAGCTATAAAGTAGTTACACATTTTCAAGCACTAACTTTGTTGATGATTGGGTCTTTTTATAGTTAGATGGACTGATTTAAATGGCCCCCATTTATGGCCTGATAGTTACTTTGCATGTGTGGCTGGTCTGAAGTTACTGCACGATTAACCACTTAATTGTGTAAACAGGGATCCTGGTTGTCTCTGTTTAAAAATTGCAAATTCTCTCAAAACCCCAAATTCTCTGATTAAAGAACCCCAAATTCACATTTTTTCGTGATTAAAATGAAATGCCACTAATATATATGTATATACACACAGGCATCAATTTACCCCAATGCTTTATTGATATACTTACAATTTTAAAGCAATTTAGAAGCCTACTGGTGCCTCATTCATTATAATAAAACAAATTCTAAATACCTATATACTTTGGTATTTGATTTGGGGTTTTTTATCATGGAAAAGGAGAGCTCCCCCTGCCACCTTTGCTCACCGGGATGCAGATCCAGTTGTAGCTGTCCCCCCCACACCCAGCCCTCTCCCCCACCCTGTTGCTTCTTTGGACTGAGCAACCCTGATATTCTGGTGCCCTGCCCATGTCGATGCTTTGCACTTCCACTTCAGTCCCCCAGCCCTGCTAATGCCCCTCACTTCTGACCCCATGCTGCCAGCTGGGGTGAAGCTGGGAAGACTAGTGCCATGCTCCACAGCAGCTGTGTAAAGCAGAGCACAGCTCTGGGCCAGCCATGCTGCAGGCAGCAGGAGGAGGGTGAGGAGCTCCAGGTCCCATCCTGCCCAGGCTAGCATGCAGTGGCTGTGGTGGCTCTCACTCATGTGGGTGGCAGTGAAGCAAATGTGGCCCTGGGATGGGATGGGATGGGATGGGATGGAGGGAGGAGGAGGGGAGGCCTGTGGCACCCCCTGCCCTGGACTAGAGATCCTGCACAGTGCCAGGCAGCCTGGCCACACACCCCTGCTTCTGGGTAGTGTCTCCTGGCTGCCTCTCCCCCTGGCCCTGAGAGCATGGGCACTGGCCCTGGCACTGCTGGCCCTGCCATGCAGCTCCCCGCCATCCCTGATGGGACCCCCACTCCCTTCCCTCACTGGAGGGGCAAGTACCTCTGGGCAGACTCAATTGGCAACAGTGCAGAAGTAGACTTGCTGGTGGCACTGAGTACTGCCTCAGCCCTCCTATGCTGCCACAGCCCCAGCACCCAGATACCTTCCCCCAGTGCTGGCAGGTGCCCCTCCCAACACACACAGCCCCCCAGATGCTCTTCAAGCTATGGCCCTCCAACCCCCACCTCCCAGACTTAACTGCATGAGCAGGTGCAAACAGAAGACCCAGATCCCTGGTGATAAATACTTTGCATGTATGGCTGGTCTTGCTTTGCATGTGTGGTGGGTCTAAATTTATCGCACAATTAACCAGTTAATTGTGTAATATATGTACTATGGGGGAGGGGCCTAAGACACTCATTGTATAACATTTCTCCCCTTCTTGTTACAGCCAAGTTGGTAGCCATCCCATATGCAGAATCCCTGCTGCATGCAGACTGTTCTGGGGAGGAGGTGACTTGTGAGATCTCTTTGTACAACGGACACCAGGCAGACGAGGAGACCTGCCAGTCCTCCTGGTTCATGGGGACCCTGAAGCTGTCCAGTGGGATCAGTATTGCTCTAGTGCTGAGGGGCCCCTGCAGGAGTGATGGGAAGGAAGAGGAGAGAATGACTGTGCTGCACCCAAAGCTGAAGGTCCCTGTAAGCAATGAGGGGACAGTGCTAACAACAGGTAATTAAATGGGGTTGGGATGCACCTGCTGCAGCAAGAGGCATTAGGGGCATTGGGGACCCCAGAATCTTATTCATGCTCTATAAGCAGGTATCCAGTGAAAGCAGAAGTGTGGACTGTGTGGACAGCTGCTAGGGGGAAATCACCAGCGGGTGCCAGAACTAAACAGTCTCCTCAAGAAAGGAGAACTAAAATGTGTGGGACCCTTGGGGCCACCTCCTTACCACAGGCTTTAACTCCTGAGTCTGCAGTGAGCCCCCGCAGACAACTCTGCTTTCCCCTGCTCTGCCCTTAGGCATCCAGTTCTGCTCCTGCTGCTCCTCCCCACCACTGTGCCAGTCTGCTGGCTCCTGACTGTGGCAAGTGCCTTGTTTTTCTTCAAAAACATGTTGTAGGGAGAGTAACCATGTGCACCTAGTCCCCATAGTCTGTAGGCTGTGGGAAAAAGGGGAGCTTCTTTTGTGGGAAAGGCACAGTTTATGTGCCTCCACCCACTCCACAACATGGGTCCTCTTGTGTGGGCTGGTTCATTGGGTCCCTTTCCCTGCTGTTCTGCACAAGGCCACATGTTTGTAATAGTCTCTCTATCCTTCTTTCCCCCTCTCTGGGTTTCTAGTTGAATTCCAGTCGTCATCTCTCACCCCGACCCTGCGCACCCGTCTTGGCAGCTCTGTCACCCTGAACTGCAGGTTTGCCTTGGCACCTGGCTCTCCACTGGCCTGGCTGGAGTGGAGGCTGCAGCACCAAGGCAGTGGGCACAGTGTGTTCCGGTACCAGGCAGGGAGTGAGCCACAAGAAGGGCAGCCAACGGCCCACGTGGACATGGTGCAGCTGCTGGAGACTGGTGATGCATCACTTAGCTTGCGTGATGTGGGCATGAAGGATGAGGGGATGTATATCTGCTTGGTGTCCAGCCCCAAGCATCAAACACAGCACGTCATTCAGCTGCAGCTGGCCGGTGAGGAAATGGGGAGTCTAGTCAGTGGGGAGGTGAGGGAGACAGGCCCCGTGAGCTGAAACCTAACCTGCCCAGCATCTCTGCTCCCCTTTTTGATTCTGCAGTCCCTCCCCCGCATTCCTTATTGCCAGGGCAAGGGACTCCTTTGTACTTTTTCATCCCCTCCAAAGCAGTTTCTCACTGGCCTAACTTTCTTTTCACCCCCCCACAGAGCCCCCAAGAGTCCACTTGTTCCCAGAGCTAGTGTCACGGGAGGGGGATGGAACTACGACCCTGACCTGTGAGATCTCTGGCTACTACCCCCTGGATGTCTCAGTGAGCTGGACCCGGGAATCCCCTAAGGATGAAGACAAGCTGCCCATCCCCAGCTCGAACATATATTTTTCCAGCCACAGGCAAGGCCAGGTTGGCACCTACAGCATCAGTTCCTACCTGCTCATCAACTTAGCAACAGAACTGGCACCAGTCACCTTCAGCTGCCATGTTTCACACCTAGCCCTTGAGGAGCCAGTTGTAGTTAGTGCCTATCTCAGAGCACCAGGTAAGTGGATCAGCACTCACTGCCCCTGCTTCCCAGCCTCTGCTTCAAGCCTATGATCTCTTACCCCAGCTTGCTCATAATACTCCGCTCTACATATAATATCCTTGTATAGCTCCATTTCTCTCTGCTCCTCTCCCCATTCTTTTTCAACTCCAGTTCCTTTTTCCTACCTGACCTTTCAGGCTTGCTTCCTCCACTCATGTTTTAACTTTATAAAACCCCATGCAAGTCATATCTCCTACATTATGAAGCATTTTGCACAGTTTGGGATGGAGATCACAAGCATCAAGGGGTGCCTTGGAGCAGTGGTGGCCAACCTTTTTCTTTTTTTTTTTTTTTGCTGCTGTACCACAAGCCTTGGCCTTCCCCAAATGCCACTTTGATCCCTGCCCCACCAGAGGCATACCTGATAAGTTTTTGCACCCAGGGGCACCAGAAGTTGACTGGGGCTCACTTGCCACACATCAGCTTCCTGTGCCACTCATGGCATGTGTGCTGAGGGTCAGTCACCTCTTCCTTAGACCAAGGGAACCAAAGATGGCTGTATTTGGCTCTAGACCTGCTCAAGACCTGTTGTGGGAGTTCAGCCATGCCCAAGGTGTTCTCTGCACTGCCACCTCCAACCAGATATGACCTAGCCACCTCCCACTTCCCATTTCCTTTCTCTGGGGAACTAAACACTGCTCAAGCTGTCTACTGCACTGTTCTACCCAGTGTGCTACCAACTCTGCCTAAGAGCTCCTCTTTTCTGACACAGGCTACTTTCCTTGGTTGAGCTTGATGGTCTCCCAGAGTTTCTCACTTCTATATCAGGGGAACTAATCTTCTCCCAGGATTCTTTCACATTCTTTCCTCCAATTAGACCAAAACCCCATCCTGGGGCACTTGTGAGGGTTTTAGCTCTGTGAAACACAGGGTCTGCTGAGTCTCCATTTCCTTCTTTCTCCAACAGACCAAAAAACATCCAAAGTGGTTGTGGGAATCATCATCTCTACTGCCCTCTTCGTCGTTGCTCTCTTTGGCCTCATACACAGATGGAGAAAGCCAGGTAAAAGTCTACAGAGCTACAGCCTCCTCCCCAGCCAGAGCTTCGCAGGTATTTCTGCACCACGTTCCCAGCCCTCCTGGGCAGGGATGCCTGACAATGTCCTGCCAATCTACTTGCTGTGGACAAACTTCAAAATGTGGTGGTGAAACTGCTGTGGGGAGCCTCCCTGCATGACTGACCACTCTCGACATCTCTATTGTTTAAATATGCCCAAGAGCCAGGGGAGTTATCCCAGAGCAGTCTCACCAATACATTTTTTGGATTTGGTACTTGTGTGGTACTTGTGTGTGCTGCTCCGAAACACCCCTACTGCATGGCATCTCCAGCTTGGCCCCACTGTGTGGCTTCCGTCTGGCACTTACCACCTGATGCATCCCACACAGTCCTATCTGGTCTACACTTTCTCTCCCTGTGGCCCAGGCCCTCCACTCCTCCCCACCTTGGTGACAGCTCCACTGCCTCCAGAGCCCTGACCCGCTGCCAAGCTCCTGCTTCCATTCAGCCCTTTGTTGCCATTCCCAGCTCCTTTCAGCCATACCTGGGGCTGCAAATGACACCTGCTTGGATCTCCCTCCCAGCATTGTTTGGACTGGGCTAATGCTTGGCTTCATGCAGCACTGGGAGTCCACAGAAAGAGCTGAGCCCCCATTGGGACTGCGGAGGTGGGAACCCCTTGCATTCCACTGGCTCTGGGGCCCTTCAGCTCCCAAAACTGGGCCCCATCGGCCACGAACCTGGTGCTTACTGTTTGGGTTTCATGGGCTTCTGCCATTCAACTAGGGATCACAGCTCTGGCCCTGCCTGACTCCCAGATGCCACTCCCCACCCATTCACAGCCCCATCCTGGCTGAGCATGGAGCAGGCCCACGATCTGTTGCCTGCACATCCCTGTGACATGCACCAGTTCCATGAGCAGGGACAAGCAGGGAGTGATGCCTGTTGCAGAGGCATACAGGCAACAGATTGTGGCTCTGCTCCATGCTCGGCCAGGAGGGGCTGTGGACAGTCAGGGAGCAGCATCTGGGAGCAGGACAGGCAGGCAGGACTGGGGCTGAGATCCCCAGCTAAGTGGCACCAGCCCATGAAACCCAAACGATGAGCAGTGACTAGGACCCACACGGGTAGGACATGTGGCCAGGCTGACAGCATCAACCACTTAGGGAGTTTTGGGGAAGGGAGGATGCTGACCCAGCCCACAACAGCTCACCAAAACCTATGTTACCCGCAGGGCCAAATAATTGTCCACCCCTGCTCTACAGTAAACTCTCAGGCTCCTCTAACTACAGTGCCTTCTGTGGGGAGTGCATAGCTGGAAGCCCCCTCAGCTGGCTCTGCCTCACATATGACGTAGAAACCTTACTGGGTGAAGAGGTCAGGGCTGACATATCTGGGAGCTCCCCCATAGCTAGTGCTCCTGTTTCAATCCTGTGGTGCCTCCTACCAGAAGACCCTGAAAATAGGGTAACTGGGAGGTCATCCCAGTGCTTGTGCTTCTCTTCTGACAGGGCCTCTTGGCTGGCAGAGGTAAGGAGAAGGTGGAAAGTTTGTTACCCTTCAGCTGCTGTTAGCAGTAGACCACTAGGGAGGGGGGGAGGGGTAGTACTGATCACTTTTGTCCTTCTGAAACATTTCTATCTTTCTTTTCAGTTGATCTAAAAGCTGAATAATTTCTGGAGACTTCAGAATGAAAGGGACAGTGACCTCAGCTACCCATGTTCCTGTACCACCTCTGACAGGTGCCATCCCAGAGGGCAATCCAACCACTTAAAAACTGATCTCTTGTTTTACGTTAACATATTTGTCAGGCACCTGAACCCCATGTGGTAGGGTCAGGAACCCTCACGCTGCTTCTTGTTGGAAGAACAGAGGAGCAATGTGATCTGGGAAGATGGATTCACTGAAAAGGGAATGTCTCCACCTTGGGAAGGTTACCTTGTTAACCCCACTGGCATTGTTCTTCCCACACCGCAGGGTCTCACTGCCTTATGTAGTTGATAACAGGGTTAGGAACTGTTGCTTTATCAAAACAAACAGGGAGTAGGTTGCCCCTAAACCATGGACGCTCTGGGGTGGGGGAACAGCCAGCTCACATCCAGTCTGTGCTGAACATGGAAGGGTTGGTAGAAACTCAATTTCCTACTGGAATTATCCCATCTCTGGTCTTAGTTATGGCTCTAATTAGCTAACAAAGCCCACCTGGATATCTTTTCTGAAAACTGCATTTAGAAAACTCAGAGCAGAGAGAGAATGATCTGTAATGAATGGGGGTCACTCTAGAGCTGAACCAGACCACACCTGCACGGTTTACTGTTGGGTTTTTATGGACCTCGCCAGTTTGATTTGTGGCACATATTAGGTATGAGGTTGGTAGAACAGAGCAGACCTTCATTAATCATTATATAATTCACAGCTTTTGCCCTTTTGACAGAAATAATCAGCAAAGAAGAAATAGTTCATTCTCTCAGACTTAGTCAAGAGCAGTAGAGTGGAAAACAGGGAAAAAATACTAGGGTAAAGAGATTCTTCCCAGCACTGATCCCTTCCCCATGGGGCACTTCAGCCATAGCAGCAAAGAGAAATTGAGGCTAGGCAAAAATGTTAACTTCATTTCTTTGATAAATAAATGTAGGACAGATCCATTTGGCACCAATTGGCACCATTCATAGGCTCTAAGGCAGGGGTGGGCAGTTATTTGGGTCAGAGGGCCACAAAGAGAGTTTTGGTGAGCTGTCATGGGCCAGGTCACCCCTCCAATAGCTCACCAAAACTCCCTAAGTGGCCCTCCAGCCCAAATAATTGCCCACCTCAGATCTAAAGGCAGAAAGAAAACAGGTTACAGAAACCTCACCTTTGTTCCCTCTTCTCCTTGCATCCCCTTCCCTGCCCTGAGTCCCTGATACACTGCCGGGCTAGTATCATTCTGTGTTCCCGCATGCTGCTTCAGGCCAAGTGGGTGCAGCTGGCATGGCCCCTGCCCAACCCAGTTACATGCTGGGGACTCAGGGTCAGGCAGTAGCTGTACCAGCCACTCCAGCTGTGCCCATGTGGCTCAGCCCGAAGTGGCACAGGGGAACACAACACAGCACCACGTTAACCACACCCATGCCCCTACCATGCCCTGGCCTGGCAGAGCCCAGATAACCTAGAGCTCCTGGCCCTCTCCCCCTGCACCCCTTCCCTCACCACGGGGGAGAACCTTACCTGAGCTTCTACTTGCTGGTGACCGAGCTGTCTGGTCTGCAAATGGCCACAGGGTCAGGGCTGCACACAGACAGCCTCACCAGGCAGAAGCCTAGCCAGCACCTCCTGCCTTGAAGTGTACACTGGGGCCTGGGGAGTGGGACAAGACAGTCCTGCCAGGGAAGAGAGTGGCTGCTGCTGCTGCCTCTATAGCCAGCTTGCATGGGGAAGGGAAAAGGGCGAGAAGCACCGAAAGCCAGGGCAACCGCAGGCTGGATACAATTCTCAATTCTGCAACCCAGATAAAATCATGTGGCAGGCCAGATCCAGCCCACAGGCAATATTTTGCCCACCCCTGCTCTAAGGCCAGAAGGTACTGTCATGATCATCAACTCTGGATTAAAGCAGGTCTTTAAAAAGATTATCTATATTTATATATTTATATAATTTATGTAATCTTTTTAAAGATATACATATGTATATATAGTTTCATTGTGTATAGTATATGTAGATATGTGTGTGCAAGTATATAGTTTGTGCTTTGAAAGGGATAAATTCCCAATGCTGAGAAAACATATGCACGAAATTGACTGTGAGTAAGCCTTTTGGCCAAGAAAAATGTGATGAAAATTGAGAGATATTTTAGCAGAGTTCACAAAATGGTTAAAATCTGATTCCATAGCTATGAATCAGGACAGATATGCTTAATATCTATCCTGGTTAAGAGAGGAACCAAAGGGAGTGATTAAATTTGACGGGGAATGCTAAAGACATGTTGGAAAATGCCATCATTGGTAGAGCTAAGGACAATAACAAATATATATTTTAATGTATTGGGCACGTCTACATGTGCCCCTCTGGCACCATTATTACTGCACCGTGCGCACAGTTATTTTTCACTGCTACGTCACTGTAGCAACTCACTATACTGAGGAAGTGCACCTCTACACCAACATAGGCTGCAGCATCATGGTTTTTGCTCATGGATGCTACGTTAGGAACAAAAGAAATCCTTCCAATGGCTAGGTCCTTTGGTGCATGAAGATGGAACAATAACTAATGATGCAGAAAAGGCACGATCTTTCAATAAATACATTTATGATCCATATATGGAAAGGAGCAGAACGATATATTCAGCTTGCATGAGGATAATGAACTAGGAGTTCAAGTAGTAGCTAGCATCTGCTAAGGATAATTATTTTTAAATGGGCACACCTACGTAATTTAGACCCATTATCCAAGCATGAGGATAACTCTCTCCCACTATTGTTAATCATTAATACAACTTGGAATACTGGAGAAATTCCAGTGGATTTGAAGTATGCTAATGTTTTAGCAGTAATCATAAAGGACAAGTGAGAGGAAAATTAGTGGTCTATTTGTATTCACAGTCCCAGAGAAAACAATGGAAAAACTGGTAGAAAAATAATTTAACAAGGACTTAAAAGATGGGAGTATAACTAGTACCAGTTAACATGTTTTTTTGAAAAATGGGTCTCGTCAAGTAAGCCTGATTCATGGCTGACATAATACATTGGGCTAGTTAAGATAACTGAAATATAAAGACCTTTGGGAGGCGTTGACTTAGCACAGCACCACTTTCTGATGAAGCAATAATATGCACTAATGAAAAAGCTCACATTCTCTGGATTAAGCGCTGACCGACAATATTAGAACAGCGGTTGTCAACATAGAATCATCATTCAACACAAAATGGGGTTGTTTATACTGGAGTTTTGCAGAGAGAGGTTTTAGCTTTATGATATTCCATATTGTTGTCAGTAGAAGTAACTCTAAAAGGACTGCTGAAAAATGTGTGGATGATATGAAGATAAGTAGTGTGGCAAATAATGAGAAAAGTAAGGCGGTCATTTTGAGTGACATGGATTGCCTAGTAAACTGGGCATATTCAAACTAAGTGCATTGAAATGCACCCAAATACTTGGACAGAAAATGCAACCTATACCTCGAGGATGTAGATTGCATCCTGGAAAGCAGCGGCTTGAAAGAAAGAGTTAGGGGTCATAGTGCCAGGCACCCAAATATATTCTACCTAATATGTTGCCCAGGGCAAAAAAGGAGAGCACAGTCCTGGAAGGGAGTAATAAGTTGGAATGTGATTTTTTTTTAACTTCTGTGTACCACTCTGATGAGAACTGTGGTAGAATCCTATTGTAAAGAATATGGAAGACTTCTCTATTTATTTTATGAGAATTATGTATATTTCTGTGGGATTAAGTTTACTGTTTTTCTGGCTGAAAGATAAGGAAGAGTTAAAAAGTCTTAGTTTCATCTGCAAGAATTCACAAATAGCTGTAGGCAGAGTCCAGTAGCAAACAGACAATGGAGGTGTTCATTCATATACTTCAGATGCAGTACGATGGGAAATGTAAAGCAAAGAACTTAAAAAAAAAAAGAAAAGCTGAGGGTCTGCGGCAGAGATGCTGAGTACATGGGGTCCTGAGGGCCCTGACCCTCTTAGGAAGAGGACTGCCACCTGAAATGCATAAAACTTTCTAAATGTCCATGATCTTAGTACAACCCCCTTCCCCGCCCCCCATGACAAAAATAAAAGTCAGTGCCTATGCTTTGAGGACACAAGGGAAGAGGACCTGCAGACAAACAGTATTGTATGGCTCTCAGCTATTGGGTACTGTTGAGGCCTACTTGATCTTGCAAGGAAGGCCAAATTTAGTTAAGGTAACAGGCTTATAAACTAGTTGTTTTAGCTTCTTTCCTTTCTGGTTTTGATGCTCTTATGAAAAAGAAAATGTTTATACTGAACACCCTGTGCTTTGTTTCTGCTCTTGCATACTGATCTTAGACTCCTAGGCTATAAACAGATATTGTATTTCTCGCAGGACTGGTTGTGCAGCAACTTGTCCCAGAAGGGAGCTAATTGAATTGGCACGTCCACATGTTGTCCTGAGAGGGTTCAGAGTGGCTAAATGCACTGCTGCTCTTCTGCCAGCAGGTGGCCAGAGAGCACATATGGCAGTATGCCTGGTGCCCAAAAGTATCATGGATTCCCCTGACAATGCCAGTACTGAGTTGAAGGCTCCTTGGTTGTTCAAGTTGTGCGTGGCAAAAAAATTTTGGGAGCAGTTTTGGTGTGATTCACTGTGCAACTCATGTCCATGACTTTCCACCTGTATTTCCACTGCATTTGTGCTGCCACTACTGACCATGACCCAGGAGCTTCCACCATTGCTGGCCCCTATGGATCTGTATATGGTTGTTGCCTTGTGGACCTTGCTGGTCCAGCATTATGAACTCATGAGCAATACTCAGCAGGAAAGGGAACATCAGTGGACCCTGATGGCTGCCATGACTACTTCCATTCACCACCAAGACTGAGGGAGCTGTACTTGCAGGGGGGAGCCTCGTGTGTGCTTGCTGCCAAACAATGGATGGTCCGTGGCTATGTCTGACTCCTAATTCATGACAGCAGCTGCCATCCTGAAGATGTTTTGGATGAAGGTCAGCACACTGTAGTTGGGCAGATGTGGGACCAGCTCCAAACCATAAAGTGGCTTTTCTGGACCAAGGAGATGACAAATGGTGGGAGTCAGTCATCATGGTCACCTTGGACAATAAGCGGAGGCACATAAACTTCCACATGTCTAGGAGCACTTTCATGGAGCTCTGCACTTAGCTTGTCCCATACATACAGCACTGGACAACAGCAAAACAGGCTCCCTTACCTGTGGAGAAACATGATGCCATTGCTATATGGAAGCTCAGGAACCCAGACGGCCTCTGGGCCATGGCAAACCCTTTTGGTGTGGGCAAGTTGAGAGGCAGTGTGAGAAGTGTGTCCGGCAATCGAATGGGTAACAGCCCCATGCATCATATGCTTTGCCAACCCACAGGAGGTCATGCACAAATTTTCCAGGGGTTCCCCAACTGCACTGGGGTTGTCTATGGTACATAAATTGCCATCCTTTCTCCTCCATAGCATGATCAAAAATTCATCACCAACAAGGGGGTTGAGGGAAGGGAAGTGATGAAAGCTTGGGCTGTGTGAGCCTGTGGGCTTTACACAGACCCAGATGGAGGGAGGTGGGAAAGAGATAAACAGGGAAGTAAGAACAGCTCTGGCTGGCTGTGCGCAGCTCTTTCCTACCCTATTCTTTTATACACCATAGGCATAATTTTGACAACAGGCAGTATTTTTATTATGCAGAACAACAGAAATGTGAAAAAGGAAGGTCCACCAGACAAGTAAACAACTGGAACAAAATAAAGAAATGCCATGGAACCCCCCCCCCCCCCCC